ACTCTACATGATTAAACCGGCTTCGAGGAAAACAATGGTCAGTAATACAAAGAACATCGAAGTATGTGACTGTCACGCTCGACACAGATGAGGAACGCATAAATGTACCTTGTATACAAACATACCGGGAAAAGCTGGCAGTTTTAATGCTACCTAGGTTTCAAGGATCGCGACAAAGGACCAAAACCCTAATCTGGCAGCCAGGTAAGAGATTTATGGGAATTTATCGGAGCACTTTACGAAGGCGACTATGTTAGTTACTGGAATATTTTCAAAATTTCCTGAACTTTATGCGGTCGTTAGTTTTGAAAACCTCGTGAGCAGACAAATTTTATTATTGTTTTAAATCAAGGGCCATTTATACTTTCTATTCATGTAGTTCAGTAGTTTCAAACAGGTGCCACATTTTAAAAAACGTGCCTTCAAAGTAGAGCTATTTTCGTGTTTGGTTCAAGACTCGATTTAGCAGGTAGAAAATCTTCTTTTAACCGTTGAAGGAACAACATTGAATTATAATTGCAACATGGCTAAACAAACTGCTATGATATATCTATAGTTGAAAAAAAGAATTGGGACTTTTGAGCGAATATTAATTTCTTTAGAGCGCCGGCAATGTGTGCTATTTTTCCAGTTTCGGCAGGCATGCAACTTGTGTCGAGCGGACCGAACTTCAATCAATCCTAGAAAAGTTCAATTAGAATTTTTAATCAAATAAAACTCATTTAAGTGATTGACTGCGTAAGGGCTTCGAAATCCCAGCTTATGAGAAAAATCGAATTTTTGAAGTAAAATCAGTGGTCGGTTTTTACAGAGACAGCCTCTTAAAATGCAGGATTTGCATTAGTCCACTAGTTGGGTGAAACTAATTAAGTTTAGCCTTTTAGCGTGCTGAGGATGGGGGAAAGTGAGCAGCAGTCCTTTGGAGGAATAACTACCTAATTTGTACAATAAGACAACTCACTCTCTTAAAATAAATCATGCACCCCAACATTGACTCTGGGCAATTACATACTGTAATATGTTGAATTATTCTCTCATTTTAATTGGTTTTTACTTATGATCTTCTGGAGGACAGACATGTCTCTAGATGGCATCATTAACAATTTTTTTGTTTCTTCATAAAACAAGATGGTTCCAAATTGCTGTGCATCTGCTCAGTAATAGATCACAGAAGACCTCAAAATGTGGTAAGAACACCAGGGCAGGGGTTGCATTAAGGGCCGAGCACCAGGAATATTGATTGGCTATGAGGATGATTTTGCTCAACTGGTGTGACCATCCAGACAAAAGTTTTTCTTATAAAAAAAGTTCAGTTCAAAACGTATAGCCCTCCTGTGAAAACCAGCTGCCCTGGCCTCCTCCTGAGAATGTTAAAGACACTCCTGATCAGTGAGGCACTTGCCTTGGGTGCATCACTCAAGGCTCGTGTGCCACTTTTTTTATTCTTACCATATTTTGACACCCAACAACATGGAATCCATTTGCTAAATTGATTCTCAGCAGACAAAAAAGACTTTAGCCAGACTTAACTTGTACAGCCCAGAGAAGGGTAATATGAGATTACAAGCCTTGTCATGTTGAAACACTTTAGCTTTCACACATTTTGCCCCTACCGACCCCAGTGTTAGGAAGGCAAAACACTTTGAATGGACACGTGAACGCATTTTGCCATTTTCCAACATTGAAAGGGGGTTTTGACACATTCTTATTAGTTGCTATGATGGAAATTTGAAACATCTGCATGTGTTTCAACTTAATGTGAAGAGACAATGTACATGTAGCCAAGACTGTGGCCATTTTGGTCTGGAACCAAGTGCATAAACCTTTCAAGAGGGAAATAATGCCTTTGTTATTGTGTAACTTGGCTCATGTTTAGGAAGGGAAATTTAGCTTAGTCCCCAATTAGTGCAACAGTGTTAAATACATGTACCATGACACAAGTTTACTTATTTATTTTTTTTATTTATTAACAACTATGAGATCACCTTGGTGCAGTTTGTTGTTGCTTCTCTACTTTAAGGGGGGCTGGGGAGCGGAAATTACTTTCTTTGGGTCATTACTTTTGAAGGGTTGGTACTTTCAGGTTAAGAAAAAAACTTGCAGTTCTATCATTTAACTTTCAGCATTTTGCTACCTCTGGAACATTACTATACTTAAGCTGGTCTGCAAACAAGCTCCCAGCAAGGAAGGAAAAAATTTGGCGAGCAAAGCAAGCAGATGAGCGTGAAACTTAAGAATTCGGAGAGTGAAGTGATCAGGGTGGGATGGGGGAGCCTGCAGACCTTGTTTTTGATGTGCCTATCTGCCCTTGGTGATTAGCCTGTAACAAATCAGTCAATGAGGTAATTAGACCTGTCAAGAAGCTGCATTTTCTGAACTTGCAAACAGCTCTAATCAACCCAATCAAACAGCCAGGTCCATGAGTGTCATAATATGGAGTGCAAGTAAGCAACATGTTCATGGCATATTTCAAAGTTTGTCCCTCCAGAGCCAATACTTTGAGAGCTTAATACATATTTTGCAATATTGAAATGAGCCTAAAGAAATTATAAGCACATGGCAAAAGATAGAGGTGTCAAACTCTGCAAGGTGATGCAGAAAACAGTGGAAAGTCTGGAAACCATGCCTTTTACCTCTGAAAAGAATAATTTGCTATAGCACAGCCAAACGGCTCCACTCTACTTAAAATTCCTCCACATAACACAGCATAAAGTACCCTTTAGAATGAAATTAAATAATGAAAGGTCAAGGAACCAAAAATTAAAAGAGAATGAAAAGTGCACCAATGTCATGAACCAATTGGGAGTCGTGTATGGCGGTCAGCCACATTTTACAAAGATCTGTCAAATATTCATCTCAAAGATGTCAACAATCAACAATTTAACCAATCACATCATGATACCAGATCCTGGTATCATGGAAAGGGGGCATCAATAGAATGTCTAAAGGCTCACTAAGTCTTGCTTTGTTTGGGCTCACCAGGAGCCTGTTTGCAGGCTATGTACTAGCTGACTCATGACTAGGTAAGAGGTGAATATAACAAGGAAGACTTGATCATTACTTACTCGGAACACAGCTTTCCTTGAAATATTTTCCTGCTGCTACATAGGGATTACAGCTAGGATCCGACTTCATGTATTTCTTGGAGAGAAGAGTTCCAACTGGCACATTCCAACCTGCTGTTTTTCCAGCTCCAGTGTGGCATGTCTTCTTGCCTTCCAGCTTGTCAAATTGAATCTCAGTGTTGGTCTTCTTTACAACTGCTACAGCATAGTAGCTCAATGTGCCATAACCATAATCTTCGCCGACCACAGGAACCATTCCAAACTCTTTACCTGAAAAATAATGTTGCATATGAGGCTACTCCCCTTCGATGCCATTGTTTGGCTTGTCACATGCAACATTTCTTGTTACTAGAACAATAGCATTGCATGACCTCACATGACAATCCATCTTACACAATGACAATGTAATACTCCTGGTTATGGCTCTGTCAATTCCAAGCCCCTTCATCCCTAACCCCCCACCCCACCCCCCACATTTAAAATTTGCCTGGAAAAATGTATTGCAAATGACCCCCGGTGGAGCACCAGGAAGACTGAAAATGCCAGACCCATGGGACAAGATCTTTTCTGATTGATGATGGAAGCAATAGTTGTTCACAAATGAATGGATTTAATTAATACCTGTAACCATGATTTTTGGAAGCAATACATTCTCCCTTAAAGTACCGTTGAACCTGGCTATTTTGAACTCTCAGGGGAAACAAAAAAGCAGCCGATAGTACCTGATTGAAAGGCAAATAGAAGGGAAATGGTTTTGAGTTCGAAATAACGGAGAATTTGAAATAACGGAGTTCAAATTAGTGGGTTCCAACTGTATAACAAAACTTGACAAGAAATGCAACAACTGGCATTCAATTTTGTCTGGGACTTTATGCCCATATTTCTATGCTTGAATTCCAGTGATAAGACAAGTGCACTTGCAGGATCTGCTTTCTATTAAACATTCCAATTAAATAACAACAACAGCCCAGTGCTTCCAAATTGAACATCCTGCCCTGTAAAGCTGTCACATCTCCTTTCCATCAGCTTTTTTTGGTTATTACCAGTAGTCCTACTAAAGCTGTAAATAAAATTTGTATGTATTTTTAAGAACTGAGAGATAACATTGCCTTTAACAATGCCCCAACCCCGATATGACCTTTTATTTTGGAAGTGCCCTACCCTGGGGGAAGGAAACATTGTCAAACGTCAGCTGACACATTCCCTGGTGGGATGAAGGTCTTGGAATTGACAGGGCTATAACAAGAGGACATTTTGACTGTGGAAATCGGAGTTGTCCCTAGGAAAATAGCTTCTTTGCTTGATTATGTAGCTTGAGGTAACTGTACCCAGTTAGGTGAACTTAAGCTGAACAACTAACTGAGAACTGAGAATATTAAGACCTGATGTACCACTGGTAAACAAGCATACTATAAGAGTTTTCATGGAGCTCTATAGCAGCTTTTAATTATGGATATTAATATGGATTGAAAAATCTTTTTTTGACCAAATTTCACATTTAGCAGTAATCAGGGATTTGTAGGCGTGTTTGAATGTTTATCACTGGAATTACAGTTGCCTAACCATAGTACACACCATGTTCAGGTTCTGGTAGCTCTAATAACTGGCTTTTGTTCACTTCAGGAGTGGTAAGCAACTCCCTGATCAAACTTTGTTGTATTACACCTACATGTCATATAAACTTCTCAAAAAAAACGTTGCAATATAAACCTCAAAAAACGATTGAGATTGCACCAAGCGAGAAATTACTCACTCACAGAGAGTTTATTCAGTTTGTGTTTGTTACTACAATAGGTCAGAGTGAACTGACTCACACTCTCATCATTCACTTTGATCAACTGTGTTTGTACATTATAGGATCAACTTTCCCAGGTAAAACTCACAATGAGATAAGCCAATGTTTGGGTAGCACCTGTGTACTGCATGATTTGCCAGTACATTCGTAACTGAGCTTTCTCCAGGTGGTGTACAGATGTACAAATACTGATGAAACAAACACACATTAAATTACTACTGCAACAGAAAGTGAAAAGCAAACATTTCTTGGTTGTGTGTTCTTTTTCTTACAAACTCACTCGTCATAACTGAGCTGTATTAAAGTTTTCCCCTTGAATTCCCTGGCAATATATTTACCCAAGCAAAATTACACTGCATCCATGTTGTAGGTGATGGATGGTTGCAACACCTAGCAAACATGTAACTACAATAATTAGTAACACTTGACAATATTCTTTTACTCCTATTTCAAACAGCTATTGAGTTTTACCTGCTTTATATACATCTCCACCATCCAGGGTGATCAAATCTGCCTCTCCTTTTTTGATTTTTTCCATGCATTCAACAGCATTTTCGGCCTGAACACATCCAGGTATGGTAGTATTATCTATTTTCATCAACTCAACTTTAAAGTCATCGCATTTGGATTGTTCTTCATTGGATGTTGTGCACCATCTCATTGGAAAAGTGTGCTTATGCCCATGCCCATGCCCTAACAACAAACAAACAAACAATCAAAACATTCTATAAACATTAATATTTTTCTATGGTGACCCTTGGGAAATTCACTAGTGTCCGCATAATACAGAGCATCTGCTCTAAACAGGTTTGGCAATAATAGTTTATTATTAACCCTTTTGTAATGCAGTGTAGCACAGTGTAGATCAAAGACTGGTCATAGCACAACTTCCAGTCAGTCAACATATCAATCTGTAATTATCTACTTAGCTTTAAAATGGCATTGCTGAATAATGTTAAAGGAGTCTGAGCTGAGCTTTTAGAAGTAAAAAGCCCTTGAAGTGTCTGCTTATTGCAGGTTCTGTGCAACAAAATGGCTTAATATTAGTGTCTGTGTCCACTTAACAGAGGTGTCTGCTGAATGTAGGTTTATTTTACAGTAAATGTGGGAAGAAAATTTAGGGACTCAAGCTGGCATCCACTTAATAGAGGGTGTCTGCTTAATATGGGGTCTGCTTGATACAGATTTTCACTGTAAACCAAAATCTGGCTATATGAGACTCTGGTTAAACCATTCTTGATGTATGGTTGTGAGACATGGAAGATGAACGAAAGTGACGAAAATAAGATCATCATCTTCCAAAACAGATGTGCTCTAAAGACAAATACTCAAGATACGCTGGCGGGACAGAATCACCAACAAAGTCAACAAAGAAGTAATGGAGATGGCTGAGATGGAAAACTTCAGCGAGGATGTCAGAAGAAGAAGGTGGAGGTTAATTGGACACATTATGAGGAAAGGACAGGTCAATAACTGTAGGACTGCACAATGATGTGGGCAACAGAAGGGTACTGGAGCAAGTTATCCACTGCAGCGGCCAACAGAGCTGGTTGATGACAGAGTGTTGAGGCCTTATGCGTCACTTGAAATGAAGAAGTTAGGTGAAGGTGAGGGTGCATGGTGATTGGCTTCCTCACTAGGCAAGATGGTCAGGGTTCTCATTAAGTGCCGGCCGCCAGCTAAAAAACTGGCTTTACTTTTTGTGAAATAATATGTGACTGAACCTTGATTGTCTTTGTCTTAAGACAGTCAAGGCTGTAGCTAAGGAGGGGCCAGGGGGTGATGTATGTTTTCAATTGTGCTACTGTGCTGTTAAGGATAAAGAATAAGAAAACACCTTCGTAATTCCCTTAATATTCTTGGTGTTTTGACCTTTTTCAATTTTTATTTTAATAAAATATCTCCAAGGGAATGTGTAAAATTTCAGAGGCACAACATTTCTGTTGTTGTACAATTGTATCAGTCTGATTTTTAACGCTTTTTCAGAGGCTTGTCCCCTTCTGCACTCAAATCGGTGTCAGCCATCTACTTCATGAAACTAGCCTTCTACTCCCAAAATTAATGAAACCCCTGGATGGTGCTTTATCTTGCACACTTGGGGTAGCCCGCTGTTTGTCGCAAGAAAGTTTTTTTTTCAGGATTTTTTCATTGATTCAATATTTTAATTTAATTCCTCATTACGCTATGCATAGATTTTGTTTCATTTAGTGTCTACTTCGCAGCCGAGTAGGAAAAATGAAAGGTAAGCTTCTACTACTTATCCTTTCCTTAAATTGTATCAATCAAATCCTTTATTTATGGAAATTTTTTAGTTAATGATACGTTTATTTCGGGTTTACCACAGGGTTTATTGTAACGCTTATTTGTCGTGTTGACTTATACAAACTTGTGATCTTGGCACGAACGTGACAAGGTTCAATCTGGATATTTTTGCCTTTTTGAGAATGCTCAATTGCCAGTTGTCCCCCGATGTGAATTAAAGTATACTTTTATTAACTTTTCAGTTTTATTCATCTTCCATGCAATCTTGGGATCTTAAATGCTTAAAAGTGGGGTTTGTCGAACAATTCTCCGATACTGTCATCTTATCTTTGCCAAGATCTATGATCTTCCCCCTGATGTGAGAGAGAATGCCTGATCGAAGGTTACGGGGAAATTCTCAGGTCGACTCGGAGTTACTTTAGGTCGTTAGTAGCAAGCAAATTTCGTGATTCTTTTCATGAATCTTGACAATCTAGCAGTTACAAAATATTGTAAAATGCATGCTTTCTAATTTGTTTCAAATGTAAACATTCAGCAGTTAATTTTTGCATCGAACAAGGTCAACATTGGTAGTCTATTTTTACCCACACCATACGAATGATACCATTCCCACGTTTGCTAAAAAAGCTTTTCAAATGATTCACATGTTGGACACACAAACGCTCCAAACCATATGCACCATAAGCACAATCCGCGCGTTGTAAACCAAAAGTTAATCATCCCGCAAATAATCACAACAAATTTAACGCATGTAATGCTGGATTTGCCATCCTCACATGGGACAATTATTCATGTTTAAAATTGGAGGAATAGAATGTCCAGTCTATGTGCACTTTAAAAAAGTGAGGTATTAGCATGAAATTGTAGTTTACGTCGGTTATTTTCTTGGCTTTTTTACTGGATGCGTACTGTAAAATGTGCATTTTAATGTGAGGTAATTTTTCATTTCTTCATTAGACGAACCTTAATTTCTTTTTTATATCTCTTTATTCATAAATGGGATGCATATAGATTGCAGTTTTTATTACTGTTTTCAAAATTTTCAATCTATCACTGGCTTTTCTAGCATTATGTTTTTTGTGGTGACAGGCAATAGCATGCGCTAAGCCAAGGGTATCAATATCTGTTATTGTCTCCTTTTTATTTGAACTCTATTTGTCATATCTGGAAGACATGTTAAGGGCCCATTAACCAATCTTTTCGAGCCGTTGCTAAGGAAAATTTATTCTCATATAACCTCATCATTTTTAGTTACTTCAAAGTTATTTCATGTGTTTTAACTTTTTCATGATCAGTAACACTAGTGATGTTGTCATCAGGCCACGCCCATCGTCATGTGACTAATACTGAAAAAACGCAAAGGCTCCCAGGCAAATTACTTTTTCAGGATTTTTTCATTGATTCAATATTTTAATTTAATTCCTCATTACGCTATGCATAGACTTTGTTTCATTTCTAAAAGGTCAGAGTTTGAGTGAATTTCAAAATATTAAAAAATAATTTTCTGAAAAAAGTATGATTTTGAAAAAGAAATGCATAGCTACCTTTCAACGTTGGCTTTAATCGAAATCCGTCGAAAAAGGCTAGATTTAATGAAAAACCGCGTTTCCTTTAGCATGTAAAGAAAGTTACCCTATCAGCGCACTACCAGCGCACTTCAGTACGATCAACCAAAGCCACACGGACTTAGTTTTTCTCTTTCTATTGCTCTTGTTTTTCTATTTTTTTCTTATTTTGTCTTTGCTTGTACTTTTTTTACCTTGCATTTTGTGAAACACAAAGAAAAACATCTAAAATGCAACCGAATTTGGAAGTTTTTCAGTTGTTTCTATTTTCCGTGCTCAGGCTGCTGTAAGTTACCGGAAGTGAAATTTCACCTCCTTAGCAACGCGCGTGAGCGCACACATAAATTGGTTAATGGGCCCTTAAGCAACCTATCTGTACTTTAGAGTACAATTGTTATTTGATATTGCTATTTAAGCGCAACTTTGGAGTAGTTCCCTGGCATGTGTGCTCTGAAAAAAAGTAATAACCAAAAGAGAACATTATTTTGAATGTTTTGAGTCCAAATTGAAGGCATTTTTATTGAGACTTGCTTATAATGAATAGCTCTCAATATTTTTCTTCTTTTTCAAATTTCAACTGTAAATTTCATTTTTAATTAATCATTTTATTTACATAATTTGTGAGACGTATTTTATCATATTCGGATGCTAATTTGTGCCATAAAAATATTAATTATTGTTATAATTATTATTATTATTATTACTATTATTATTATTATTATTATTGTTGTTGTTGTTATTATTAACAGTTATCAGCAGTTTGACATACCAAAGAGGCAAAAGAGTTAATTCTGTTTTAATTTGCATTGACCCATTAGCCTTGTTTGAAATTCTTTTTAAGCAAAAGAATATTTGACCACAGACTCAACTGCTATAACAGCTATTATTAATAGTTCTGCAAGTTCAAAAATATTTTTCAACATTATATTTTAAAGGGGTACTATGATGAAAATTACATATTTTCTATCTTAGCCATTTTAAGACATAAACTAGTAGTCTTTATGAGAAAAATACCGTTTACTATTTTCAAATATCGCTTTTGTTCTAGAGATATTCAAGTTTCTAAAATATGCAAATTAACCAAGTGATGAAGTCATACACTCAACCGAATTTTGATCAAATACTGTATGAAGAAAGATCTCTCAGCCAATTTGTATCAGAAATGTTTGATTCTTTCTGTAAGATTCTACCAAGTGAGCTCCACAATACGAGCTTAACAGTTTTGTTACCACTGCACTAGACAGGGTTCCAGACCTCCCCAAAATTAAAGGCTCTTCTGGCCACTTTTGGCATTCTATTTTGATATTTGCTAATGTTGCCTCATATGCATGATCCAGCAAGCATATACATGTATATGACCTCATTCAATGTTTTTCGAGCTGAAAATCACTAACATATTGAAATCAAATGGTTGGGGACTGGGAAAGAGTGAGTTGCCATGGGAAAAGAATTTTTTATAGCCATAGATGTGTTTCCTCTAGAACTATTAGCCTGTCCAAGTTTCAATGGTCTGTGCAGCAAATTGGCCAAGATAGCTCTATTTATATAATTGATATGATATAAGGTTGAGTGTACGACGTCATCAGTCATCTCACCTGCGTATTTTTCAAACTTAATTACCTCTGGAATTAATGCAGATATTTGCAAACAGTAAAATAATGGTGTTTTTATTCTTTCATGGAATTCTATGTGATACACCTAAAAAAATCAAGGGGTAAAAATTTGATCATAGCACCACTTTAAGGACTCAAATAACTACTGTCAAACATCCAAAAGGGCAAAATGACAGGATATAAGCTGGTCACGTCTGACTTCTCTTGCTTAATAGTACCTTGAAACAGCTGCTTAATAGAAAATTAACTCTTGACATTT